TCAAAACTATCTAAAATACTCTATTTGCCTAGTTTGGTCTAGCCCCATTCATGGTGCTGTATCTGAATCAGGTGCTTTCTCCTTGTATACACTGCTTAGGTACCAGTGGAAATAACACTGGGAGTGCAAGACAGATCATCTCTCTAATCTTAGCTCTGGTTAGCCAATTGACCTGTGGCTTCTGGTATCCAGAATTACAATGGCAACCAGATTAAACCAGGGACTGAAGTACGTTCAGAGAGTTTGGAGGGTGGATTTCTGTGAAAATGAAATCTTGGAGAACATTGCTTCAAGTTTTTGCTGAGCATGCTCAAATGGTGATTTTCAGAGGTGACACGTAAATGGATATTAACAGCAATAAAAACAAGGCAAATGTCAGGCACAACTTGCAGGACAATTTTTAAGCCGTTGCTTCAAAGTGGCAGAGGCACTTGAAATTCTCAGTGACAGTTACAGACGTTTCTGTGTGTAAACAAAAAAGGTTTTTTACTTTGTCCAAGTCTTAGAAACGTTTTTAGCGTTTTCACTGAAATTGTGAAGACAGCTTATGTTCTGACGCAGATATCAGGATGGAAAATTTCAGTCTAACCTATTAAAGCACAGCAAAGCTTGGAACAATAGAAAGCAGGCTTTTATGGCAGAAAGTGTTCAGCAAATTTAACTACAGGCAGTGTTTCCAGCATTGCTGATAACTGATTATTATGCTGTTAGTGTTACTACAGTTAAGTAATACTTACATGGCACATAGGAGAACATGACAATAATAAGGAAGTAATAGTAGTCAAAGGAGACATTATATTTGTTGGGAAGTCTCAGTGAAAACATTCCTGTTTTCTTCACATAGGGTAAAGCAGCATATATGGTTAGCAGTTCACCTGCAACTCCAGCAGGATACAAAATGATAAAAAAGTTGTATCTGCATTAAAAAAAAACCCTTGTGAGAAACACCCCATGAACTTAAATTTTCCTCTTGCTATTATTAGTGGCACAGCAATGTATTACAGTGGTTTCTGCACCAAAATCAAGGACCACACACTGACTTGGCACAAAATACCAGTTTCAGTTACTTTGGATAGCGTTGCTTAGTTTTACAGAGAATGCATTCTTCAGTCCTTTTATTTAAAAACAGTGAAATATCAGGACGTTTGTATGTCTTTCTAATACTAAAGAGTAAAAAAAATACGCAAATTTGTAGTCTCCAATATGTCTTTTTTTTTAAATTTACCGGTCTTGCTCCCGTTGTCACCGACGGGATTCAGACCAGGACTGGATCCCAAATTCAGATGATCCTACATATCTCTGTCACAGTGCACGCACACTGCGTCAACTCTATGTATTATGGTTTCTTTGAAGATAATGAAAACATTGAGAAACATCAGAAGCCCGTTTTACCCACTGCCACACGGGAAATCCAAATAATACTACATTTACCACTAATGGAAATGGAAATAAAAGTAAAAGAAAATGGAAGTGCCGGAAACGCATCAGATCCATTTTAAATTGGGAAGAAGATGTTCAAATAAAAGGTGAAGGCATTCAGTTTAAAGAAAATGTGGTTTGAATGCCATAGGCCACATAAGTGGTGACAAAATGAAAAATTTAATCAGTAGGGTTTTTGCTGTCCGTATGCGTAGTGTACCATGGAGATGCAGTTTCTCCTGAGGAACAGCTCTTGAGTTCATCATGCAGGGCACAGCAATGAGAGCTGTCACACAGAGAGAAAGGTACAGTGTGCACTCCATGACCAAAAGAGATGAGATCCAAAACAGCAGCAACCAAACACGAAACCCTCCTAGCAGCAAATGGGCTTAAAGGACTCGCAGGTCAGAGAACAGATTAGGGGAGGTAGAAGAAGGAAATGCTGCCATGAAAAGCCGGAGTTGAACTCAACTGATGACATAGAGACAGTTTGTCTCTGTGCAAAGAATAAAAAACCAAAGTAAAAATTATGAACTAAAATTTAGAGCATACCTATTCCGCTAACTATGGACAGGCAAATCTTTTACAGTTATGAAGTAAAGATTAGAAACTTCCAGCTCCCTTGGAGTACTGAATTTATGCCCAGTTGTGCTGTTTGATTATCCATAAATCTTGATGGGGTATTTTGGACTCTATGAAAAGAGAATACATTTTCAAATGTTTTGTGTATTTCACCACATATCTCTGCTCTGAGAATGTCAGTTTTCCCTACGGTCTATTATAAGGAAACAAAAATTCTGTCATTCGAGATACTTTTTGCCATCAGGTCAGCGTATCTGCCAATGTAGTACTTTCTGAATGCATTTCTCTTTCTGAAGCCTACATCAAAAAATATTAATGAAACCAGACCTGATTATGTTTGCCATTTAGTACTTAAACATCACCAAGCCTACCACCTCAGGTATTAGCAAAAAAAGATAACATCAGACATATCAAAGAAGTGCATTAGAAGCATCAGAACAGCATTATCTATAAAATAAAAATAAAGCAAAACAAACAAACATACTCTTTTAAATAAAAGTCACCTGTGCTGAATGAAGGTAAGATATTTTTCTTCTAACAGTGTAAGTCTGTCTGTCTTACATGTATTTTTCAAATAACAACTACAGAGAAATTCTACTCTTCCAGCTAAGTCTCCTGGTAAACATGCAGTCTCTGAAATATATTTGACCTAATCGCCAACTTTAAGCATGCTTCAAAATCAAAGCAGTTTTGATATGGAACACACTTTTTATGTGGGCTAAACTAAGTCAATATTTAGCTTCACTACATGAATATAACCTTACAAAAGCTCTGATAAAGCAGAACTTCTTGTAAGTAATAATAATATACATAAGATTGACAACAGCTGCCACATTTTCAAAGACCTGCAATCCACAAAGACTATCACAGGTGCTTAATTTTGGGCCTTGTATTCAAAAGCATCTTAAGGAGTCATACTGTAAGTTAAAAGATGACTCCAAAGATAAAGAAAAAAACCATAAAGTACATTAAAGCAGAGTTCAAACTTTAAGACACAGAAAGCAAAGAACAAATCACATCCCAAAATGTCATCTAAAGTATTTTTAACATTTTAAACCAAGTAACAATGATCCCAAGTACAGAAAGCAACCAACTTGCACTCTGCTGACACATAACCAAAGCTCAAACATCTGCTCTCCTGTGTGTTAGCTCAGCATGCGTGAAACTAACATGCACAGAACCATGAGAAACTGAAGTGCAAGACATTTCCACCTGGCCCATTTAATGAAGTATGGCAAATGGTTGAGCAGGTTGAATGTGTAGAAGGAATATCGAGTAATCTCTGTCACAGTCCATACGACCAGAAAAAGAATAACGCTCTCCTCATTCTGGATCTGCAGAAGTATAAAGAACCAACACTTTCTTCATTCTTAAGCTTCTTTTCTGTGCAAACTACAACAGACTTCTGTTTAAGATAGATGGAACAGAACTAACATCTTGTAAAGAAAGAAAATTTTGGCATAAAAGTGATATGCTGAAACCACTACCATGTACAGTTCTTTATCATACATATTTACTAACATATAGACATTTTCCAAACTGAGCAATCTTCATCCATTATGCAAATATCAAAATATAAAACCCTATAATTGAGCGTACTCTTCCTCTTTATTCTCTATCTGCGCTTTCACTATGCCATCTAACTGTTTCCCTCTTTTTATTTGTGGTTGATTTATTTGTTTATTTTCTTACTCCTCAAAACAGCAAGTAGAAAACACTACAGACGATTCGCTCCTTTCGTAATCAGCTTTTACCCGTTCTGCATTTCACTACTCTGTCTCCCAGACTTTCTCTTACTTTTTATCTTGCTTCTTCCTCACCACATAATGCACAGCTCCGTGAAACTTTAGACAAAATGAATTGCTTAGTATAATCTACTAACTGGAACTTTGAGTCACAGACGATCAAATTTGGCAGATGTCAGGGAGCTGTAAGATAGTTAAGGAGCTGGAACATAGATGGATCACTAAAGAGTAGTTGGCAGATCAGGAGCTTTGGGTAAACTCATGCAACAATTCTGTTTTAAGTTCTGAGTCATTAAACTGCCTCATCGGTAGGTAGCACACCTATCTGCTGTTTCAAAACATTGATTCTTTTTCACTCTAAGTGAACAAATAAACAAAAGTCCCCAAATACAGAGAAGGCACATGGGGATCTATTACAAACACTGCCTTCTGAGAAGAAGAATTACACACAAGTAATTTTCTTTTCTTTAAAAGGGGAGGAATTTTGTAATACACTTCCATGCCTGAAGGCTGAAAAGCTCCAGGGATGTCTGTGAAATAAAGTAACACAAGTTTTGTTAAAATTACAAAAAAGGGAAACTATTTTTTTAAATTTACAACACGGTGACAAAGACTCATACACCTCAAAGATGTTGGAAAGGCACAGCTCTGTCAAAAGTCAAGAAGAATTATAAGTGCTGATCATGTCATAAAATAGCACCCTCAATTTGTCAGTCAAGGTGCATTTTCGTGAAAGGATCTCACCAACATCACAAAAGAAAAGGAGATATAAAAGTACTGCCAAACTCACAAACAAATAGCAACAACTGAAGTGCAGACATCAAAACAAATAAGCCAAGGGAAAGACAGAATTAGGCTGTTCTTAGCGTCGTGCAGTTACAGACAAACATTGATAACCCAAACTTGGATTCATGTCACAGCGCTAAATCTGAGCAGAAGAGCTTTAAATGAGTATGCAGAGAATTCCTATCTGTTGCCCTGCAAATCTCCAGTCAAGTAGAGAGATCTGGGTCTGGCTGTTATTACTGACATGCCTCTCACCACCTAAAGTGACCCTGAAAATTCATGCCTGCTAAGCAATAACAGCATGAAATACAATCAGACATACATTCAGATGTATTTTTTCTCGGACACAGCTTGACCTACTGTACTGAAGACAGGGGAAACAAAAGAAATGACTGGATATGCTAAAGATTTAGTCCACTGCAGATAATAACCAAATGGCAAAATACAATGCTTTATTCCAGCATTCGTGTAAACATTCAATATAAAAAACTTGTTAATCTTCAATACATTTTCCCCTAAGAGAAAAATGAAAACACTTAGCTTACCAAAAAAACCCCACAAAGCTATGAAAAGCCTACTCCATGTTAAAAAAAAGCGACAGTAAAGGAAAAGATGAAATGCAGAAAACAAGTCCTCTGTGAACCGAGACAAAGGGATCTGACAACTGAGGCAGGTGCTATGACAGCCCATCAGCAGAAAAGCATATGCCATCTGCTGGTGAGACAGTTTAATGGCTCAGCTTTTTCAGTTTAAGGAAATTGAGGAGCACAGACTCGAAGATCTATCACTTAATTCTTACATGCCCTTCACAGAAAGCAGACCTCAGAAACTGAACCGAATGTCCCATCTACTAGCTGTAAACAGTCTGCGTGTTTCATTCTGCTAACGAACCACTAGATTTACAATAACCACCTATGGCGAGGCAAATAAACTACTGTCATTCATACAGGACCTCAAGTGTCACTGTGGCATGCTGAATGACTTGACATATTTTTCATGAAAACACTGCAGTATGCATGCCACCAAATGTTAATATCACCATAACATTAAAATCTTTAGAAGGATCCTAAAATAAATTCTGAAATCACAACCACGTTTATCCAGATAAATTCAATTCAAGAAATATGTTCATTTAGAATAATTCAGTAAGTGCTAACTTAAGCTTTTGAAAGGGAACTGGTAACACTGTGGTAGATGTGCTGGTAAATAATAGCAGTAGTCATTGATCTCAGTTAGGCAGACCACAGGTGGCACGATGCCGACGACAATGCAGATTCACAGCTAAGACCAGACCCAGTCTTCTGGGCAGAAGAACATAAACCCCATCCTGCAACCCCAACTTCCAAAATCACACTCAAGTATGTAAGTATTCTCAGTAGGAGTGTCACTCATTTTTAAATTGGTCTTCCTGGTGAAATGAGAACCGTAATAATAGCTTCTCCTTCAAAACAATCAGAACATGACTTGCTCATGCACATACCTGTTTTATGCTATGTGCAATGAACCACACCATGAAGATTCTTGAACTCACTTGGACCCCAGTCACAAGCACAGATGTGCGAACTATTCCTTAAAGAGAGAAACATGTTATCTCTGTTCCACAATTCGTGTTTTAATTAGTTACAGGAGAAACTAAAACAAAGAACTCACCAACTGCACAGTGGACTACCTGTAAATAAAAATAAGTTAGAGGTTACTGAGGTACAGTACGTTACTGTCTACACTATAAGCATGGCCTTTTGGTATTATTATAAACTTCGGCTTAATTCTGAAGAACTGTTTATTTTGTCTCCAACTAACAAGTCTTTAAAAGAAATACACATTAGAGCCCTGGCAACCCATGCTGTGATGGGTTCAGTATCTGATCTGTACAGACACATGAAAAAAAATTATTTTCCTAATTAGTTGTACACATTACATATTGAGATACTTACAAAACATTTATTTTTCCAATTAGTAACCTTCCCTTCCATTATCTTATTCAAAGAAGAATTTTACAGGAGGGAGTCATATAAGGGATGCTAAATGTGTAGCAATTTTAAAATGTTCTGTATTCATTGTTGATTAATAACATTATTATAATTACACCAATGACAGCTACGAAGCTTCAGATTTATTGTATTTTCTGGTCAGTAATGTTTAGCAAATGGACCGCTTATTTTGACAGATTTGAGTAGAATCACTTATTGTGAAAGTTTAATAGCATAAAAGCCTATATACAGCTGGCCACAACAGTTGTTTGAACTACAGATGTTGTAGGCAGATGGAGAAAAAAAGTTAAAATGTAGATAGGCACTCTTTGTTGTACCTGGGAAAGAACTGTAAGTGCTCAACACACCCAACAGTTTCATTCCATAGATGTACCACAAACTCAGACCACTAGTGCATAGTTGGCAAAAGTCATATTATTTAAAGAACACTTTGCACAACTTGCGCAGACCCTGTTGTAACGGATTACATGGGGCATGTGAATCCAGTTTGGAAATAAGCAGGAGCAGGAAAGGCACAGAAGGATAATGAGTCCAGTACAAGGAGTAAGAGGGAAGCTCTGGAGATGGAGACGAGGTGTCTACTAAGCCAGAGGGTTGATCTGCTGGCTGGAATGCCTTCAGTGATTTTGCCTTTGGAGTTAAAGACTCTCAAATCAAAGCACTTCCCAGGTAGTACTTGATTTAAAGAAATACTAGATTTAAGTTTGAAAAAAATGTGTCCATTAGTTTCAGCTAATCACCTTGCCTCCCAAATAAACTTCATTAAATAATAGAGTTAAAAGGACTTTAAGTACTAACATCATATTTTTATATTAAATTCAGGCTAATAATGCGTTTTTGCCTATAATATGCACCATCCAGTAAAGCAAACTAATGTTTAAAATTTACCTCAAGCAAAGCAAATGTCTGGAAAAATTTAAGCGTCTTTTGAACGCTTCTGAATAAGCCTCTATGTGTTCCTTTCTGTATATAAAACCGCACCATGGCAATACCTAATACCAGCCACCTACAAAAGAAAGAGAATGGATACATTTCAAACTAGAATTCTAAAAATATCCATCTACCGTAAATAATTCAGTAGCATATTTTCTTCACAGATATCTTTGCTTCTTGTCAGTATTCTTAGGAGATTAAAAATATCTTTAGACATAAATATTATATAATGTTACATAAACATTACACTCTTTTATCTCTTTACTTGGAAAAGGATAGAGTGCCTTGTTTACCTTCAGGGGAGTGACCTGAATTGAAGGGACCCCCCAAAACCACAGGCCCATCAGACTTTTCACTAGCAGTAGCTATATATTTTTACTACTAAATCCTCATGCATCTTTACTGTGAATTACTGTTATTTGAAAACACACGATGAGCTTGGCACTGAAGCCACTGTTTTGGGTCGCAGGTTTGTCTAAGTAAAGGACTGGAATCTATGTACATCATTTTTACATTTTTCATGGCCCCTCAACTCGTAATTTTCGGAACTGACTAGTGATCTGAATGCTTCTGTTTGTGATTGTCCAGCGGAAGTTACCATTATGCTTCAGTTTTAAAAAGTGTTGAGAAGCCATCTTTGAAAATCAGACTCTGAAGTGCTGAAAGACGGGTACTCTATGCTCCTGCCTTCCAAAGGGAGGTATATTTAACTATCACATCTGATGGTGTTGGCTAATTTTTTAATAAATTTTTTTAAGGAAACTGAACAATACCACTAATTGATAACCCTTCCAGTGTAAAAGAAAGAAAGTCACAGTATCTTTTAATCAACCTGGATTTTGATATAAAACTTAAATTGAGATCTCAAATGGAGACTGGCAGTAAAATAAACTTCTAAACTGTGGTGGGTTGATCCCCACCACGCAGCTGAGACCCAGCACAATAACCCAAGGCATGTGCAATTCCTTCCACATAATTAATCCATGTTTATATAAGTTTCAAAATAGTGTACCATATGATCTGTACTTAATGCAGCTATCCCACGTTCTTACAAACATCACAGTAGCAAGATGCCTTGAAACGTCAGGTTTCAATCCACAAAGACTAAGAAAGTATAAAAATTCTTTAATATAGACTTATAGGCATAGCCAGAGCTATGGATGGCTATTTTGAGAGTTAAAAATAAAAATACAAAAATTACAGTAACTTTAGCTTAATTTCTTGCCCGATGATGTTTGGCTTAGTCCTTTCATTGTACATAAAGCCGCAGCAAGCATGCCACATGGCAACATGAACTCTGGCTAAGGAAGGGCCCAAGTGACAAAGAAGATGCGTCTGAGAAATACTCAGAGGCAGATTTGGAGTGCATATAAACATTCACAGAAATATTTATATGAACATTTGGATAAATATTTAACACATCTCCTGTTCTTATACGCTTCCCTAAGCATAAGGCACTGGCTAACACTGGAAACAGGGTACCAGCAGATACCGATCTTTGGTCAGACCTGTTCCGCTGTCACAGCACGAGATTTGCATGGATCGTGACAGCTCTCTGTTCACCTCGGATGGCATGTGCTTCGGTATCAGCCCCTCAACAACTCTTACACACGGCACCTACTGCTGCGCAGTCATTTGGCATGGCCCGTTCCAGCACTTCATGATGGCATTTCAAACTCACTTAGAGTTAGCTAGGCTTCCCCACAAGTAGGAATGATTCCCCTCCTTGATCCCTTCTACTTTAAGCCCATGACTCCGATCTGCCAGAGCTCCAGTATTTGCCCCCACAAGTGTTACTTAGATTTCACCATGGATTTTAAATCTGAGCGCACTAATTTGAGGTTGTCTCCCACCACTGTGGAAAGGAGGAATTACTGGAATATGACTGGTAGTCCTTCACAGTCAAGCCACCCTGTTTTACAGAGAAGTGTTTGACAAGAGGAAGGTGACAGTGAGTTTACATCCAGCTGGCAGCATGAAGGGTGACAGGAACAGCTCTGTCCTAGCCCTAGCCTGAGAAGTCATAACACATCTAACCTAACAAGGCATTTTCTGCACCTCATTCTGTAAGAAAAGGGTTGCAGAGAGAAGTAGTCTTAGACTACACTCAGAAGCAAAGACTGCAAATATCTTTCTTCAAAAAAATTTTATTTGGACATGAATTTTTGTAGCTTGATTTATTTAGTTGTCAGTGTCTTTGACTTTGGATCTCAGGAAAGCCCTTGTACTGAGCACTGCAAATCACCAAGAAATAGAAAACAATTTCCCTAATAAAGGTAGCATTTCCAGTTGTGACTTTCAGTAAGACTGCATATTCATCTGTCATTTTAGTCACTTAAACCTACGTTAAAAAGAAAGATATGCCACAATTTTTTATTTGATTGGTTGTTAATGTGCAATTATGTATTAGTTTGTTAAAACTCTCAAAACACTTTGCTATATTGCACTGTGTGGACAAATGGACAGATACACTGTTCCTGTTACTTATTTACTCTGTGTAGTGCTCTGTTAAGTATTGCTCTATTTCAAATGTTTTTTTCTCTTAAATTGTATCTGTAAAACATTACAAGAATTTGTTCCTATCTCTTATTTCTCTGTTTCCCCATAAAATATGCAACTTTGCATGTCTTAATCCCTTTCGATGTTAATGGAAGATGGGAGAGAAGGCAGTGGGAGATAACGGATCAGCACCTAAGGTCAAAACTAAGACGGTTCGATAATCTTCTACTGACATACACAAGTCAGTGGCAAGAGTCAGCGTTCATTAGCAAATTCACACATGGAGCACGAGGCTGGGAATTCAATGAGGCAACGTTAACCCGCCAGCTAAAAGTACATTGAGTAAAAACACTTTTCAAAAGGTGCTGCTGCAACAGATGAGCTGACTTGAACATGCACTGCAGACTGACAGAAGCCAGTGAGAAGAAAGCCACCACGACCATATCCCTGGCCTTCTGCAGGAGCGCCTCAACTCCTGCTTCAGATGCAGCGTGTTGGTTTTGCTCTGCGGGATTCAGACGGCGGAGAGTTCACCCACTGGTAACCAAGGCAAAACTGTTCTCATGGTGAACGTCGGCCTAGAAGTTCTGGAGCTGTCGTTCTTAGTTTTCTCTTACGCACGTGGAAATCAAAGGGGTTTCGGGTATTTTTTCCCCAAGAGTTAGAAAACGGGACAGATGTTCAAGAAGTGAAAATGTATGCTTCAGCCACTAACATGAACCCGAGTGCTCTTACGACCCTGTTCCAAACAAGCGCCCGCTCCCCGCCCAGCCACGCACGGCAGCGCGGAGCAGGAGCTCAGGGCGGCCCCTCGGGCTCTCTCA